AGTCCTCAGCCAATGGGAGCTGCAGGGTTGGGGCCTGCGGACAGGGCAGCGTGTAGAGCCATCTGGCTGCGCCTCCGCGTAGGACCCAGCAGGGGGACATGCCGCTACTTCCGGGAGGTAAGCACCGCCGAAAGCCTGCACCCCTGAGCCCCTCCCACACCCTGCGGAGTTGGGGTTATAGAAAACAAATCTGTCTCTACATATCATAGGGCTTGTCTCCACTTACTGGAAGTAAGACCTGATAAATCGACTGCCGATCACTCTCACATCAATTACGATGCTCCACCAGAACGAGAAGCATAAGGTAAGTCGACAGGAGAGTTTCTCCCGTTGACCCAGCTGGAGTTGCATAACTTAGGTCAACTGAGCCCTATAGTGTAGATCTGCCCATAGATGAAAATTCATAAAATGAAAGAATGTGTCCTAACCACAAGCTACTAGCTGTAAGTTTTTACGTCAATGGACCCATATATGTTTTACCTAAACATTTTGGATCTAATGGAATCCCATTGACCTGACATCATTAAATATACTTGGATTCATTAGGATCTTAATGGCTGTGCCTCCTTAGATCTGGCAGAAGCCAGCAAGAACCAGTCCTAACATTCTTATGGTTGGTTGGCATATGTTTAAAGATCAGTTCCACCAAAACAAACACACTTCATTTCCTGGTCAACTATTCTGATAAACATCAACCAGCTGATCAGACTGGTTGTCATCTTACATAATAGACAGTAAACCTATACACTGCCCAGCCATTAAAAAAATGTTTTGGACTCATCCATTTGCAAAGGACAGTGGTGGTGGTATTGTGTGATAATCTAATGGTCCCGCCATCCATTGCTTCAGATATAGTACATGGTATTAGGACATCAATGCCAACTGTCTGGGCCTTAGAGTTCCTCTTTCCCAGCTCTATTTGGGCCTCGACCCCCACCTTCTGGTCCACTCCAGTTCAGATGCCGTACTATATCTTTAGACTGTGAGCCCTTTGGATGGGGATTGTCTCTTTTCTATGTGCAGTGAAGAGCTCAATGGAGTCCAAGTCATGAGTGATACCACAGTATAATATTTAATAGTAATCCAGTTTGGATGTTTGGCATGTGTATTGACCCATGTACATAAGAATAACCATACTGGGTCACACCAAAGGTACATCTAGCCTAGTGCTTCAGAGGGAATGAACAGAACAGGTAATCATCAAGTGAGCCATCCCCTGTCGCCCATCCCCAGCATCTGACAAAAATCGCAGAATCTCTGTTAGTGGCATCTAATACCACTAAAGAAGTTTCCTGCAAATCGAGTCACTCGGGAAGCTTATTTTTCCCCCTCTTTCTCCCCTCCCCTTTTTTTCTAAAAAATATACATTTTCATATCTACATTTTAATGACAAAGTTACAGAAAGCCAAAAATACAAACACACAGTTCTTTTAAGATCACATTGTCTGTTACTAGGGATTAACAGCCAGGTAAGGTAAAATAAGAACGAAGCCAAACCCTTTTTGGCATTTCAAAAAGAGTGGGTGAATTCTAGTTCTGTGTTAGATTTAATTTCCACAAATCTCTGTACTTCCTGGTTTTCTTTGGCACTGGAAATACCCAAAAACTAAGAAAATGATGTTTCTTTTGATATTTTTGACCCTACTATGAAGTACTGAAAATATGATGAGAGGGTCAGTTTTCAAAAGATTTCCAGTACAATTGAGCCATTCAAACTTTTGAGTTCTTACCCAAAGTGAAACTTCTGAAGTTGGACCATTTTAAAATTTTATTTATAAGCTTTGATTAAACAAATAGGGATTCTTGCAGAAGAAAAAAGATAATCAGTCCAATATTTGGGCATCAACCATAGCTAGCAACTATTTATAATTTTAATGGCAGGGACTGGAAACATGGACTCCTCAGGCCATTTATACTGGGGATAAATCTAGTTCTAGTCACTAGAAATATAGATATGCCTTGGGCAAGCTACTTAATCTTTTAGTGCTGCAGTTTACCCAATACAGGAATACTACTAATCTAGTTTGTAATGATGTTGTGAGATTTAATTCATAATAAGCATTTATAAAGTGTTTTGAGAAGATCTGATGAAAGATTATATAGGAGGACAATGTGGTATTATCATTATGGCTTTAATTTTATATTTTGTACTATGAAATAGTCACAATATCTATTGAACTTAGCTTTTTAAATAAGATCAAGTGCAACTATTAGAGCTTGTCCAGGTGGGAATGTTTTACCAGTAATACTGATATAGTCATACTGGCAGAACCCACCATATGAAAAAAACTTTTATTTTGGTATAGGAGTGGCTTTTTCAGTTTACTTTCCCAAACAACAAACTAAACTAAACTAAACTTAAAAAAAAAAAAAAAAGGCACTCTGAAGCAGAATAAGGATGTCTACATGGAGGGTTATACTGGTGTAACAATATTGGTTTAAATAGACATCTTAGGTTGTTTTCAGTATAACCTTTCCCATGTAGACACGGAAATTTAATATCCAATACATTCTGTATTGGGGATTGTATCCTTTCCTTGCAGGGGTATTGACTTTTCTACATCGGTTATAATCCAGTGCTGAACTATGCAAACAAGATATTGTAAAAAACAAAACTGTATGTACCCATACCCAGTACGTCAAATCCATTAGAAGATTAATAACTCTCAGATGAACCAGGTGAACGCTGGTAAAATCCTGTTGATAGGAAGCATGAATGTGCACATGCCAGTTGTCTAGCATACTTTCTAGTGGAGAGTGATCAGGTAAGGTAAACTATTGCCAGCAGGAGAGCGGGGGGGGGGGGGAGGGGAGGGACCTTTTGTAGTAATAATCAAGGTGGGCCATTTCCAGCAATTGACAAGAACATCTGAGGGGGGGGGGAGGGGGGAATAAACATGGGGAAATAGAAAAGGAGTACTTGTGGCACCTTAGAGACTAACACATTTATTTGAGCATAAGCTTTTGTGAGCTACAGCTCACTTCATTGGATGCATCGGAAATAGTTTTACTTTGTGTAATGACCCATCCACTCCCAGTCTTTATTCAAGCCTAAATTAATTGTATCCAGTCTTGTCAACTGCTGGAAATGGCCCACCTTGATTATCACTACAAAAGGTTCCCCGCCCCCCTCCTGCTGGTAATAGCTCACCTTACCTGATCACTCTATTACAGCGTGTATGGTAACACCCATTGTTTCATGTTCTCTGTGTATATAAATCTCCCCACTGTATTTTCTACTGAATGCATCCAATGAAGTGAGCTGTAGCTCACAAAAGCTTATGCTCAAATAAATTTGTTAGTTTCTAAGGTGCCACAAGTACTCCTTTTCTTTTAACAATACAGTAATATTTCACAAAAGCAAACAAAAGTTTGAAAGTAAGGAAATTAACAATGAAGGTCCCTGCAGCATTCTGCTTACTGCCTACTTCTTCCTATTGTGCATTTTATTTACAACACTCTGGTCTTTAGTCGCATGGTGATTTCGTCTCCACCAATACTCTTCTCTTATGCCAGGTACAGGGTGTATACAATAATTGGAAGATTTATGGCCTGTATGTATAGGAAGGACACAACAGACATTATCTGTTAGATGAGAAAATCTATTTATTAGTGTTTAATATTTATACTGCAATAGATTAGGTTAACAGATTTTAAGGTGTGAAGGGACCATTATGATCAGCCAGTCTGACCTCCTGCATAACATAGGCCAAAGAACTTTACTCAATAGTTTCTGCATCAAGCCCATACCTTCTGTTTGAGCTATAGGATATCAGGATTAGGGCACCATGCTATTTGGCACCATATGACTTCAAATAGTTCCTGATTTGAAGAATTTAATCTACACTCCCAGTTATGCAAATGAATAGTCCCTTTGGGTGAAATTACTTGTATGTGTAAACATTTTCAGGATTAGGGTTTAAATAAATTGAGAGTAATAAAACAGAATTTAAATTGTTACAGTGAAAAAAAAACTGCAAGAAAAAAATTGAAAAAATATTATATTAATTTCTTATATTAAGAAATATTTACATATGCTTCCATAATAATTCTTCCAAAGCTTAGAAGGTCTGTATTTATTGCTACAGAACTTAGAACACCACAGCAGTCAAATCACAACTCAAATTCTACAACGGTCACTATGCAGATTTAGCAGAAATTCCTCAGATTCTAAAATCTACAGCAGTCATTCCGGAGTTTAAAAGCACATACACCTGCCAACTGTAAGAATGGCCAACCTGTGTGCAGGATACACTTCCAGGTTTTGTGAACTAACAATAAATCAATCTCATAGGATTGAACTACACCGGCATTAGAAAATTAGGGGCCAAAAATCCCTGACCCCACCCAGTCTTGATACACACAATACATTGGTGTTACAACTGTTAGAGCTGTACCCACTGGTTAGTGTGTTTCTGTTGGCTTTGTCTACATTATTTTTTTTTCAGGGTTGCTTATGTCAGTGGTAAAGTAAGGAAGGCTTCTGCACTGTGATCTGACCCGTCTCTTAACTTTCGGGGGGGCTCTGCACGGGCAAGTGGTCCACCTGCACAGAGCTCATTGCAAGATCAGGGCCTGAGAATTGAGAACTCCCAGAAGGTAAAAGTAGCAGGCCTATACCATAGCTTTCGCTGAGGAAAAGTGAGTCAAACAAGCCTTGAAGCCCGTAAGCCAAGTTGTGTTGGAAGCGTGCGTTGGAGCTACACAACAGCTGCAAACCCCATTTTCTCTAAGGCCCACACCTGCCCCCCCCCCCGGGTATCACTGGCACCCAAGGCCGCCCCCCTGCTCCAGAGCTGCTGCACTCCAAGTCCTGCTGTTACAACAACACGCCTCCTCCTACTCCCCCGCACCCGCAGCCTCGCCTCGGCACCCAGTGCCCCCGGACCGCAGGGGGAGGTGCGTGTCCCAGCAGCTGCCTGTAGCCCGGAGAGGCAGGGAGGAAACAAACGAGCCTGTTCTGCTGGAGCCAGGGGCGAGCCCGGCTTCTCGCTACTCACCGGCTCCGCGCAGGTGTTTTCCCCAGCCGAGAGGCGGGCAGGACCCGCGGGCGGAGGGGAGCCCGGCGCCGGCAGTCCCGGAGCTTCGGCCGCCGCCTGTCCCGCTCCCGGCGCGCTGGGCAGCCGGCTGCGGAACCTCCCCCTGGAGCCGCGGCGGGCAGCTGCCGCCGCTCGGTCCAGCTCGGCGCCGAGCCTGTGGGCGGGAGCGGCCCTGTGGTGCCCGGCCCGGCACCTGGCAGCTACTGCGAGTGCCGCGCACGGGCCTGAGCCGGGGCAGGGCGCTGGCAGCTCTGCGGGGCAGCCGCGACCACGCCCGGCGGAAGGACAGCACGGGGGGAAGCCCAGGGCGTCCCCCGTGAGCCGCGCAGGGGGCGGGGAGGGCAGCCGGGGGCTGCTCTGTGAGTGGGGCAGCGCAGGGGGGAGTGCAGAGCACAGGACAGCCTCTGAGGAACGGGGGGAGGGCGCGCTGGAGTTTTAAATCCCGCTTTCTCCAGGGTCGTGGCAGCGGTAGGTTTGGTATGGCCCGGTCTGCTATGTTCCTACTTGCTGAAACAAAGCCTGTGTGTGACCTCGGAGTGAGGCGCAGTCTGTACTGCAGGTTTTGTAAGGGTGCCCCTACGCCAATGCAATTTCCCCCACCCCCATGCAGGTGCTGCCTGCACCCCTGTGAGACGGGGCTTGCACCAGTGCTAGTTCACCTGCTGAGGTAAGTCACGCTGGTGCAAGCCACGGGTTTATTTTATTGATCTTTTGCTATTGCGCATTAGGGATTGGGACTGTTGTAAATAGTGGGACTGGTGCAAATCTCCCGAGACTACGCAAGACCTCAGTGAAGAAATAGTTACTCCGTTCTAGAACTAGCTGTTGCAAGATGTAACTGTTTGAGGTGTTGAGAAATTGCTTCCCTACACCCACTGTGATATTTGACCAGATTATATATAGGTAATGACTGTTTTATTTAGATGCCTCTTTGATTTCTCTCAGTATTATGCACTCAATAGCCTGCTTGTGATCTGAAGGCCACCAATATAGTCCTACTGGTATATTGTATTATGATTTGGTATTTAGATACTTGTAGTGATTATTTTTGGTCATGTGCCTATTTTTAATTCTAGTTTGTCTGATACATCAGTTCCAGTAGTTTGTCTGACACCTTAGTACATTAATCTTTATGGCCTGAACCTGTCCCTCCTCCAGTACAGCTGTGACTTCTGTCCTATTTTTTAAGGGATACAAATACTTTTGTTTTGTAACCCTAGCAAATGTTTCTGTTTGACTCATGCGTGACTTAAGACTTTTTTCCAGTAACTTAAATTTAGCTCCCAGGTCATTACTCCTGCACCTCTGTATTTCATAGCTATCAGTACATAGTACAAACATTGCGGGCTTGTCTGTACACAAAAGTCGTATAGCTTTCATAGAATCATAGAATATCAGGGTTGGAAGGGACCTCAGGAGGTCATCTAGTCCAACCCCCTGCTCAAAGCAGGACCAATCCCCAACTAAATCATCCCAGCCAGGGCTTTGTCAAGCCTGAACTTAAAAACCTCAAAGGAAGGAGATTCTACCACCTCCCGAGGTAACCCATTCCAGTGCTTCACCACCCTCCTAGTGAAAAAGTTTTTCCTAATATCCAACCTAAACCTTCCCCACTGCAACTTGAGACCATTACTCCTTGTTCTGTCATCTGCTACCACTGAGAACAGTCTAGATCTATCCTCTTTGGAACCCCCTTTCAGGTAGTTGAAAGCAGCTATCTAATCCCCCCTCATTCTTCTCTTCCGCAGCAGCTGCCTGTAGCCCGGAGAGGAAGGGAGGAAACAAACGAGCCTGTTCTGCTGGAGCCAGGGGCGAGCCCGGCTTCTCGCTACTCACCGGCTCCGCGCAGGTGTTTTCCCCAGCCAAGAGGCAGGCCTATTTCCCTCAGCCTCTCCTCATGAGTCATATGTTCCGGTAGTCCCCTAATCATTTTTGTTGCCCTCTGCTGGACAATTTCCAATTTTTGCACACCCTTCTTATAATGAGGGGCCCAAAACTGGACACAGTACTCCAGATGAGGCCTCACCAATGTCGAACAGGGGGAACGATCACATCCCTCGATCTGCTGGCAATGCCCCTACTTATACAGCCCACAATGCCATTGGCCTTCTTGGCAACAAGGGCACACTGTTAACGCATATCCAGCTTCTCGTCCACTGTAACCCCTAGGTCCTTTTCTGCAGAACTGCTGCCGAGCCATTCGGTCCCTAATCTGTAGTGGTGCATGGGAATCTTCCATCCTAAATGCAGGACTCTGCACTTGTCCTTGTTGAACCTCATCAGATTTCTATTATTATTGTTAATAATAGCAGTATAGTTAAAGCAATATAACCTTCCTTGTGCAGGTGAAGCACTATAGATGTACATGTACCAGTATAACTTATTCCCCTTCCCTTATGGGAATAAGGTATCCAGATATAATGCACCTTTGAACCAGTGTAACTGCATCTATATTGAGGATTGTACTGGCCTAATTATTATGTAAAACTCATAGCCCTAATTGAAATAGTTTATGTACTAATTACTAATATAACTTTGTGCAGATCAGGCCTGAGTCCTCCATAGCAGTCACCAGAAGTTTTTCTAGATGTCTTCTGAGATCTGATTACCTTTGCACTCAATAGCTAAGTCACTGAACAGTTCTCATGATTACCACATACTCAGACTATCGATATTTTTAATGATCAAATCCGATATCACCACAGCCTGTCTGCATCTTCCTGCAACACCATTCCAGGAGTGACACCTTCAGTGCATGAGAAATTATAGGCTTCCTCTACTTGCATTGGAGGGCAAGTCCTACATAAGGGAGTTTGTCTGTCCATTCCAGCTTGGTTTCCTCCCATCATGAGACTGGTTTCTTCAACAGGAAGAATGAACAGCCAATGCAGACTCTACAATATTCTGTCTGTATATATAATTTAACTCAATAGCTGTGGCTGCAAGGTGCTGTAGATCACAAACTGCAGGCAATGGTTATGAAATTCACTCCTCTGTAGTGGACCGGCACAAGACCTGTACGCCACTTTACCCCTCAAAGTAGGGCTTACGTTGAACATGAGTGGTATATAGGCCTTGTGCTGGTCCTCTACAGAGGGATAAATTTCACCCCAGGTGCATATTATGGCACATAGAGACAAGGCAAGTAGTTGTACATTCTGCACTCTACTGCAGTAAACTGAGTAACTCCACTCTCATTAGAGAACTCTAAGGGCTGGTCTACACTACTGCAGTAAATCGATCTAACTTACGCAACTTCAGTTACATGAATAACATAACTGAAGTTGACCTCATTAGATCCACTTACTGCGGTGGCTACACTGTGCTGTGTCGATGGGGGAGCATCTCCCGTCGACTTCCCTTACTCTTCTCGGGGAGGTGGAGTATGTAAATCGATGGGAGAGTGCTCTTCACCATCTTCACCAGACCCACTAAATCGACACTTGCTGCATCGATTGCAGCAGTGCTGATCTACTGGCAAGTATAGATGTACCCCTAGACTTTAAGGCCAGAAGGGACCATCATGATCATCTAGTCTGACCTCCTGCACATTGCAAGTCAAAGAACCTCGCCTACCCACTCCTGTAATAATCCCATAATCTTTGGCTGAGCTAATGAAGTCCTCAAAGCTTGATTTAAAGACTTCAAGTTACAGGGAACCCACCATTTCTCTAGTTCAGCAGTGCTCAAACTTCACTGCACTGTGACCCCCTTCTGACTGGGGATGTAAAAAGGTTAACCGGTAAGCATTAGGCTTACCGGTAAACCGACCTTAACCATTAACCCCCTGTCTGCCAGCCGGTGCAGACCTGGCCATGCTGGCCCAGCCGGCTGGAGGGACCGCAGCCACGCCAGGCCGACCAGCCAGAGAAGCCCAGCCCCAGGTGGGCCGTAGCGGCCCTGGCTGCGCCTGCTGGCCAGCTGAAAGGACCCCAGCCGTGGCCGCAACTGCCAGCCAACCAGAGGGTTTCCAGCCCTGGCTGCACCAGGCCAGTCGGAGCAACCTCAGTTAACCAGTTAAATGATATAATCTTAATAATTTAACCGTTAACTTTTTAAATGATATTTACATCCATACTTCTGACAACAAAAATTACCTCATGACCCTGGGCAAGTGGGGGTGGAAGCTGATGCCTGAGCTCCGTTGCCCCGAGCTGAAGCCCTTGGGCTTTTACTTAAGCCCAAGACCACAGTGAGTCTAATGTCAGTCCTGTGACCATATTAAAATGGGGTCACAACCCACTTTGGGGTTGTGACCCACAGTTTGAGAACCACTACTCTAGTTCAAACCAGCAAATGACCTGTGCCCCACACTGCAGAGGAAGGCAAAAAAACCCCCAAGGTCTCTGCCAATCTGACCTAGGGGAAAATTCCTTCCCAACTACAAATCTGTCCATCAGACCCTGAGCATGTGGAAAAGACACTTGGGAAAGAATTCTCTGTAGTAATTAACAGCCCTCCTCATCTAGTGTTCCATCTCCAGCTGTTGGCCATATTTGCTAAAAGCAAATGGGCCATGTGCCATTGTAGGCAGTCTCATCATACGATCCCCTCCATAAATATATCAAGCTCAGTCTCGGAACAAGTTAAATTTTCTTGCCCCTATTATTCCCCTTGGACAGCTGTTCCAGAACCTCACCCCTCTGCTGATTAGAAACCTTCTAATTTCTAACCTAACTTGTTGATGACCAATTTGTATTAATTTGTTCTTGTGTCAGCATCGGTGGTGGGTCCTCTATTTCCATAGTTTAACTAGTATTTTTGTTCTGTGACTAGGTTATTTAACAGCATCTCTCTATGTTAGTGCACTAACAACTAATTAAGATGCCTACTCCTGTGTCATGTTACCAGTGGTCACTTTCTCTAGGATCTCTCATTAGCTAGCTTTGTATTTCTAGCCAATATTTGTATATCTAGCCAGTACAAATCACAAGGTCTTTGCCCCTCCCACTTGCTCAGCTACTGTCTGTCAGTGGGCCTTACTTGGGCTCATTCACTTCAACTTCAAAGAGATTAGTTCAAAACTTTTATTGCTGTCAAAGAGACTAGACCACTTTTACAGCACTAACAATTGGTTAATACCTTTTTAAATGTCTATTTTTAAAATGATGGTTTAGACTCATCCTTAAATTAGGCTTAGAATGAAAATAAAATACACATTAAAAGAAAATATTTACATAAATTAAGATAACTAAGTCCCTGATCCTACCATAAGCTCAACACAAGTGGGCCTCTTGGCCCATGTGGAGCTCACACCA